TCTGCATTTATGTGCACACAACTTATTCTAATTGAAGGTTATTTGTTAGGGACTGGTTGGACTAATATTTTAGTGTTGACTTTACAGTAAACTCCATAAAATACTTGTGGCTGTGTGCCTTCAAGTTGTTTCCAATTTATGGCAACTCAGGGAAATGAATGGGGAGCAGTCTTGGTAAAATTTGTTCAGAGGTGATCTGCAGTTGCTTTTTCTCTAAGGCTGACTGTAACTTGCCAAAGATCACCCAGCAGGTTTCCATGACCAAGTAGGAATTGGAACTCTGGTCTCCCAGAATCTTACCTCAACACTCAGCTGGGGTCTAGAGCACAATGGCTGTGCAGATAATTGAAACCAATTGATCAATCGTTGCAGGAATCATTGCCATCGTACTTTCCCCCAAACAACCAGGCTAATATTCCTCCTTCTCTCAGCTGTAGGTAGATTTGTGTATGTGTGTGTCTTCAAGTTGTCTCTTAATTTATGGTGGCCCCATGAATTTCTGTAGAATTTTCTTGGGCAAGGAATACTCAGAGATGGTTTGTCATTGCCTTCCTCTGCAATGTAACCTACATAATAATTATCATCTAGATATAAGTGTCCTGATTGTCCTGCGTTTCAGCAAGTACATTACAACTATACTAGGACCGAATTGCCAGAAAGCAACATTTTTTTCTGCTGAGCATGATCAGGCAGGTCTCGACTAGCAAAGCAGCCTGACATCTGATGACTCCTTTCCTTGTATATTTTTTCTTAATTTTTTGCTTGATAAATCTGCAGATTGGGTACCTGTATGTTGTGTCATAAGGTGTCTGTGTACTGGAGGTCCTGTGGTGATATGTTTGTTGGGTAAATCAAAAGGTGAAAATATATCATACCAGCTTTCAGACCACCCAGGGCTTTTTCATCAGGTAAAATAGTATATGGGGTGGAAAAGCGACAGGGTTATTGTTACAGCATCTCCATTTCCTGAGGCTTTATCCCTCCAACATCAAGTAAAGCTACATCATTGGGCCTATTGTCTAAATTTATCTCCTGCTTCAGAATACAGAGACTATCGTGAGAGACCAAGTGCATTTGTCCATCATAGGCGCATGTGGCTTCATACTGGATAGATACAAATACAGTTGTTTTGGGGGGGCAGGGGCAAGGGGGGGTTGTCTTGGTAACTTCAAATGTTGCCAGATGCCAGACTTTATTGCCTGTTATATTTCCTTTGTTCCCAATGTGCTTATGGCCATTGTCTACAAAGACTTCTGACCATAGCACCATCACATTCTTTCCCCTATATGCTATTTTACCATTTTTGCCTGATGGAGAAGACTGTGAAGTTTCAAAAGCTAACATTATGTATTTGTACCTTTAGGTTGGCCCAATAAAGGTATTGGCATAGGATGGATTAAGTTTTGTTTTTCTTAAAACCAGCACAGCTAATTCTGAAAGATGTTCTGGACAGTACTTTGGTTAGTTGTAGCAGAGCTGTTTGTCATGCTTATATGTGTTGCTGTGGAGTCTGGAGTTTGTCATGTGGGGTATTATTGCATTTGGAGTTACATTCATGTTAATGGCATGCCAGTGTATAAACTACAGCTCGTCTGCAAACTATGTGTGAGTGCCTTCCTGTAATAGACTGGCCAGCATACAAAAGAGCCAAAACCGAAGTTTGGAAAAGGCAATGATGTTTTTTAATCCTGTGTATTGTTCCTATATATACCACCCTACAGACTTCATTGTATCTCTGTTAAAACAGCTTTGGAAAGTGCAAACTTCCTGGTTCAATTGCCTTGTTTGCTGAGTTAACACCCACTGATGCCTATTTTAATTAAAATGTAAATGGTAACACTTACTGTAAACATGCCGAGGTCAAGAGCTGACTCAGGTAGGATTTGAAATGGGGGGTGGAAACCACACCATTCCAGACCTTAGGGCATTATTTTTAAAATATAATTTGCTATAGTTATATATTAGAGCCCTCTTCTTCACCACATAGGAATTAGATATCATTATAGTTACAATCTTTCAAAGGCACTTCTTCATTTCCTAAAAAGTAACTAACATTGTTACTTTTTGCAGCTTAAAAAAAATTGGACTGCTACAAGTTACATTGTTGCATGCCCTCAAGGTGTTTCTCATTTTATGGAGATCCTGAAGTGAACTACACAGGGTTTTCTGGGGCTGAAAGTGTGTAACTTGCTCAAGATCACCCAGTGTTTTCCATGGCTGAGCCAGGAATCAAACCCTAATCTCCAGAGTTGTAGCCCAGTGCTCAAATCACTACACCACGTTGCAGGCTCTCCTTGCTACATAACTGTGGTACACAATGAATTCTCTGCCCAACCACCTTTTCATCACCAGCACAGAGCACAAGGCACAGCATAAACCACAATACAAACCAATATTTCCATGCTGTGATTTTCCTTCCCCCATTTACTGAGGGCTCTCCCTTGTGACTTTAAAAGTTACAGTTACATTGCAAAGGGGGGATTTCAGTTACAATCCTAATGTAATCTAGTTAAACCATTGCTATCCAAAAAAGAAATTGATTACACATGTATTTGCTATTTGTAACAAGTTACTTCCAAGCTGTGTTGCAATTTCCCATCCCAAAACGCATAGTCTTATCTAACTGGAACTCTCACTTATCATTGCTGCAAAACTTTACTTTCAAGAAGTTAAGTTGCTTTCATAAATAGCTGTTTTAAAAGTTTGCACAGTCTAAAACTTTCCCCATTCTAAAAAGAAAATGAAGTAAATAAAATATTATTATAATTTCATTAGGCCGCATTCTTAGACACAGCCACTCTACGTGTGATTAGGAATGGGAGTGCATGAGTAGCTTGCGTGACTTGTGCCATTCATAAAGGCATACTGTTGGGCAAAGAAGCTGTATTAAACAATAGCATCCTTTTTTCTCTTTCTGAACATTTGTAGTCTAGGCTTTGTTTACGGCCCTTGTCTAACCAAACAATACATCTTGGGCATCTCAGGCCACTGCTGTTCTTGTTGCTGGTTATGTTGGGTCGTTCTTTAAAATCCAGTGTAAAATTTCTGGAACCCCATGGGGAAGGAGGAGGATGCAAATGTGAGAAATATAAAACACAGAGTTGTATTTTTCTGTGAAAATGTGAACTCCAGTCTTCTCACTGCCTTCTTTATTGTTTACAAGAGTACATATATCCTGACCTTGCTACAGGTTATTGGATCCTGTTTAATCCTTGAATTTGAAGTGGCAGGGGCAAGGATGGGAGAATGTATGGTGCATCCAATGCTGTTGGATTACAACTCCCATTGTCCTGCACCACTGCCTTTGCTGGCTAAGGCTGATGAGAGCCACACATTCTCTGCCCCTGACCAAGGGCAGCTGTTTTAGAATAAGCAGGCAAGCTTAATGTTGAACATAAAGAAAACAAAAATAATGACCACAGAAGAAATACAGAAATTCAACCTAGACAATGAGGAAATTGAAACAAAGAGTTCCTGTACCTAGGATCAAACATTGACCAGAATATTGATTGCAGTCAGGAAATAAGAAGAAAACTAGGAATGGGATGAGCAGCAAAAGAGCTAGAAAAGAGCCTAAGTAGTAAAGATATACATCTGAGCACTAAAGTTAGAATCATCCAAGCCATTGTATTCCATATTCCCATCACCATGTATGGATGTACATACAGCGCATGCATCTGAGGAAGTAGGCTCAAGTCTGTGAAAGCTCCTGCTACCCGCTTTTTTTTTCTGGTTAGTCTCAAAGATGCACAGATGATGAACAGAAGTTTTACGTTACTTTGTCCAGGGACTAAAGGAACATTTCATTGAGCTGGGCTAAATTCTTCTGGTGGTTCATTTCCTTAAATGTGCCTCATTTTGTCTCCTTTTTGGAAAGGGTGTTCCAAAAAAAATATCCACGCTCATGCACTACCCTGAGCAAGGTTCCTTTGGAAGCTGGCTCTTTCTTGAAGCTGAAACGTGAGAGACCTGGTGACAGAATGTGCCAGTGCCTGAGAAAGTGTGCCAGCATCCTGGTGGCTGTGGGCACACAAACAAAACAAAAAAAGCACAGAGGCCTTGAGCTCAATTTTGCAGAGCATGGTTGTGTGCCGGGTGGGAATCTTGTAAGTAAATTTAAGCAGTTCCTGGAAAGATGGGGGGGGGGGGGGGGAGGAGAAGAGAACCTCTAAGGTGGAGCATGCCTGAAAATCCTTGTGGGAGGCTCTGCTGGTGCATTAAACATTAACCTTGATGTGAGTCATTTTGTAGGAGACAGTGTGTATAAGATTTTGACTCTGGAGACCAGGGTTCGAATTCTGGCTCAGCCATGAAACCCAGTCAAGTCACAAACTCTCAGCCTCAGAAGGCAGCGGCAAACCTCCTCAGAAGAAACTTGCTGAGAAAACCACATGATAGGTTTGCCTTAGGGTCACCACCATGGGCTGAAAATGACTTGGCAGCACACAACAAGAACATTAGTTCAGTTACACTGTGATAGAGTTGCCTTAGAGTCCCCATAAGTTGGAAACCATTTGAAAGCACACGACAAGGAGTGGTGGCTTTGTAAGAGTAGGAGTCCCTGTGGTGTAGTGTGGTTTGAGCCTTGGACTCTGGCTCTGGAGGGCAGGGTTCGAATTCCCACTTGGCTGTGTAAACCCATTGGGTGACCTGGGACGAGTCACACTCTCTCAACCTCAGAGGGTGGCAAGGGCAACCCCTCTCTGGAGTAACTTGTATTTTATGATTAAATTGATTTTAATTTTACAATAGTTTAATGTAGTTTTAAGAGGTGGGAGGGTTTGGGGGTGGAGGGCCTGGGATGTTGGAATGTTTTAACTGTTGTATATTTTAACTTGCTGTAGGCTGCCCCGATTGCCGAGCAGAGGGACAGGTTATAAATAAAACTTATTATTATTATTATTATTATTATTATTATTATTATTATTATTATTATTATTATTATTATTATATTACTTGCCTTAAGTGGGAAATGACTTGAAGGCACACAGCAACTAGTCGCCAGCGTAATGCAGTGGTTTGAACCTTGGATTCTGACTCTGGCGGGCAGGGTTCAAATCCCTGCTTGGCCATGTAAACCCAGTAGGTGGCCTTGGGCAAGTCACACTCTCTCAGCCTCAGAGGATGGCCAGGGCAACTCTGAAGAAACCTGCCAAGAAAACCCCAGGATAGTGTCTCCATACATCAGAAGGGTCCCCAAGAACAACAAATAGGAGACTTCCCTCTGCGCCAGGGGCTCCTTGCCATGGAGCAGGGTTGCCCTCAGAGCCCCTTTTGTTGCTCCAGAGAGAGAGAGAGAGAGAGAGAGAGAGAGAGAGAGAGAGAGAGAGAGAGAGAGAGAGAGAGAGAGAGAGCAGTCCTGTGGAGCCGGGAGAGACCATTCAGGGAGGGGGGGGCTTTGAGAAAGAGAGAGAGAAGAAGGAGGAGGAGGAAGGCAATGAGAGAGCTGCTTAAAAACTTGGAAAGTACACTCTGCGCCTCAGGGACCGGTCGGAGCTTTGGTGGTCAGTCCAAAGGGGCGTTTGAGGAGCCCACCTTCTTCAAAGAAGCGAAGGGGGGGTCTCCAAACACCCCTCGAGAGGGCAAGGGTGGTTGCTCCCTCCCAGCCTGTTGCTCTTAAGCGAGGCAAAGTTTCTTTGGAGGAAGAGGAGAAGGAGGAAGGCGGGCGTCGGATGCGCGCAGCCTGGGAAGGAGGCAAGAAGGCAGGCAAAGGGGCTTCTCCCCCTGTTTTGTGAGGAGAGAGGCAGAGAGGGAGCCGGGGGTCGGCATGGGGGCGCAGAGGGGCTCCGGAGAGGCCTGAGCGGGTCGCCTTTGGTCCCGAGGGAGGCGCCATGGACGAAGAGGAGGACCGAGGAGCCTCTGACTCTGCCGCCGCCGCCGCCGCCGCCGGTGGGGAGCCTGAGGACGGACACGACGGAGGGAACCTGCCCGAGAGCTTCTCCCGGCTCTGGACCGACGTCATGGGCATCCTGGTGAGTGGGGGGGGGGGGGGAAATGGAGGACCTTCCAGGGGGAAAATGGAGGACGGGAGCACATGGAAAAACTCAGAGCACGCCTAGGAATGGAAACCCATGCGCCTTAGTCCTGCTCCAAGTGGAGGGCAGGCTGGCACATTCCTCCTGGACACAAGGAGGTTGGGATGGAGGACCGGTCCTGGAAATGGAGGACCTCTGGTCACCCTGGAGGGCGGGAGGAGGAAGAGGCTAACCCTCTTGTTGTTGTCGTTGTCGTTGTCGTTGTTGATGTTGTTGTGTGCCTTCAAGTCGTTTCTGATTTAGGGCCACCCTATTACCGGGTTTCCTTGGAAAGTTTCTTCAGAGGGGGTTTGCCATGGCCCATCCTCTGTGGCTGAGAGAGTGTGACTGGGCCAAGACCACCCCGTGGGGTTCCAAGTCAGGATTCGAACCCTGGTCTCCAGAGTTGTAGTTCCAAGGCTCTAGCCTCCTACAAAGCGATTCGTTGCTGTGTGCCTTCAAGTCGTTTCCAACTTATGGTGACTCTAAGGCGATCCTATGCTGGAGTTTTCTTGGCAAGTTCCTTCAGAGGGGGTTTACAATGGCCATCCTCTGAGGCTGAGAGAGTGTGACTGGCCCAGTGGGTTTCCATGGCCGAGCTGGGATTGGTTGTAGTCCAAGGCTCCAACCACTAGGGCACCCCCTGCCGCCTTTTGCTCTGAGGCGCCTAGCAAAGGAGTCTCAAAAAGGCTGGGAGATCGAGGACGAGCGAGGCAGATCCTGAGCTTTTAGGACCTAAAACGACCCCCCCTTTAGAAGACCACTTCATCTCATCTTTTTCGTATTGGGGGCCTTCTAGTCCTTTCCGACTTATGGCAACCGAAAGGCGACCCTATCACAGGGCTTTCTTGGCAAGTTTCTTCAGAGGGGGTTGTCATTGCCATCCTTTGAGGCTGAGAGAGTATGACTTGCTCAAGGTCACCCAGTGGGTTTCCTTGGCCAAGGGGGGGGGGTTGAACCCTGTTCTCCAGAGTTGTAGTCCAATGCTTCCTGGTTAAGAATCCAGGTTGACTTCAGGGTTATTACCTCTCCCATTTGTGGGCCTGCAGGGATGCTTGGTGGCAAAGCAAAGATGCAGAGTGGCGGGGTTGTTTTGCTTGTCTCCTGGATAATGATCGGTTTCATCTCCATCCAGGCACCGTTTGGGAATAGGATTATATGCTGACAAATGAGTGCCAACCAGCCAGATATCCTTGGGGATTTAACCTTCGTGCTAAGAGTATAATTTCAAATTTCTGAATTTTGTATCCTGAAATACAAATACAATATGCTTCCTTTTCAGAGCTGATGGGCAAAACCTGCCAGGGGCTCCTCTCGGTTCGCCACAGCAGTGGCAATGGAGAGTTGTGGCTTGTTTCATTTGTGGCAGGAAAAGCAACAGTTTCAACTTTGTAGCAGTGGTTTATTTGGGGTTTTAAATAAACCAGAGACTTTTGATTTGACACATTGTTTTCACAGAGGAGCCTAGAGTGATTTATCAGGTCTTCAACAGGGCAGTCGATTATGGAGTATGGTGGGGAATTAAATATTTCTAATACTTCCTTTCATGTTGCTGATCTTTTCCTCCCTCCCCTGAGGTTCAATAATTCAAGAGCTACGGTGGATCAAAAATGTTCAGCTACCCCATACATGCTCTGAATTTAATTAGTTCAAGCACTGTAACCACACCAGTTGCAGAGCTGGCTCATGGAAAGTTTAACTCTTTCCAGCCCCTTCTTCTTTATTGTGTACTGGCAGGGAAAAAATAACACAGTAGAAGGGGCTATGGTTCAGACATACCCTGTATAGTATATTATACAGTGGGGCCTTGGTATCCACTGGAGTTTGATTCCAGGACCCTCTGTGGATAACAAAATCCGTGACTGTCCCATTAAATACAATGGCATAGTGAAATGGTGTCCATTATATAAGATGGCAAACTCAAAGTTTCCTTTTTGGAATTTATATATTTTGGAATATTTTCAATCCATGCGTTGAATCTGTGGATATAGAGGGCCAATTGTATATTTCATTACAAAGTATATATTATCAGGTATATTTTTTTAACAAGTTACACATTATTAGCATTGTATTTAGCCCTGTGACCCCCTTGCCAATCTTAATTAAATGCAAGAAGCATTTGGTTGTCTGAAAGCTTTGGAAGAGCAAATGCAGGATACTTAATGCTTAATTTAATTAGTTTTTTAAAAAAACAACTGGAGTTTTTAAAATACTAAGTCACCTTCAGAGAAAACTCTGTTTTGTCTCGTTAAAAAACAAAAACTAATCAGTAGCTGTAAACTGATACTTAAGTGAAAAACAAAGATTGTCGTGGACCCACTCTAGAAAAGTTTGGAAATTTATACTTGGAGAAATGAGCAGGAGGAATGCAGCTAAAAGGATTTGAATGTAATAAACTAAAGGATAGTTTGAAGTGAGAGGATGTTTGTTTAAGCTACACCATTATGTAATAGTCATAATAATAAATTATTAGGCTAGGCATGACCTGAAAGATAAAAGTGAAATGAGGTTACATTGAGTTTCTCTAAAACTGAACATTGTAGTGATTCTTGTTTTTAATAGTTCTTTAAAATGTTTTCAGAAGATGGTCCATGCCACATGCAGTTATTTACCATGTACAAAGGTTCTTGCACTTAAACAAATTAATTTTACATTTATTGTGTTATGGCTGTGACACACCTTCTCTATTTGAGCCAGCATATATTTCACATTTTTTCACAGCATATATTTCATATATAAATAGGAAATATTTATATATTATATATTATAAATATAATATAATAAATATATTTCATATATAGGTATGGGGTTTTTTTTCCAAATTTCACAGTATATGTTTAACCCTACAGTTAGACATGACTTGACAACCTTGTCAATGGGGAATACCTTTATCTTTGCCTTTATATTTCACACTGCCTAAATACCCTTCAGGCAGCAGATACTATATGATCTTGGAAGCCAAGTAGAGTCAGGCCTGGTTAGTACTTGGATGAATGAGGGTGGGGTGGGACCACCAAGGAATACCAGGTGTTACAGGCTATATTTTAGATGAATGCAATGGGAAACCACCTCTAAGTATTCCTTGCCTAAGAAAACCTTATGAAATTTATGAGATCATCAAAAATCTTCAAGTATGATTTGAAAGCACCTACCTATACACACACACTTCAAACATTGGAAGCAAGACGTTGGTCACACATGGCACTTTATCAGACTGAATTTTGGGGGTGGGAGAAAGAAATTGCTTTGCCAGCTTGCCATTTACACAAATAGCCAGCATTAAGAAGGGGAAAAAAATAAGCAGGCCTGTCATTAGATTATAAGTAATGCATTATAATTGGTTGATAAAAAAAGGCACATGTTTTGTGGAGTATTGGATTTGATAAACTTTATAGATAGGTATGTCAAACAAAAATGGTGAGGTAAGGGAATTACTCCTGAAAATATAGTAACAAGAGTAAGACATTTTAGTATTTTCAATACTATTTGGTCTTCTCGGACAAAGCCTTTGTAGGAAAAGTAAATGCGCATAGACATTGGTGTACTAGTACACTTTGCACAAAAGTAGGAGGGTCTGATTTTGCAGCTTGACGGGATGTCTCTAGTCAGATTGCCAGCTTTGAGTTCCCTAAAGTTATCTGCACAGGAAACCAGTGCAAGTAAGGGGAAATGGATTGGAAATCTCATGGGGAAAAATGTTGTGCTTCCTAACTGGCCAATGACATCATGCTTTGACTCCTATTAGAAGAGAAAGGTACTGCTCTGAAGTGATTATTGTACCAACCACATGCATTGTGCACATGCTCCCTAGTTTTGTTGGGTGTTTAACGGGGGTGGGGTGGGGAAATCATCTTTCAGTATGCTTTTTCATTCTGTCTGGCCAAAGTGTTGAACAAATCTTCTTACCCAGAGTTAGTTCTACCTGACAGGTTCACTGATGTATGGATTGGATTCTGCTAAGATTAGTTCTTTATTTTCCACTGCTTCCAACAAAACTTGTGGAATAATACTTTGTGATAATGATTAGCAAAAGTTCTAATATTCTGATGAGAATAAT